GGCAGGGCAGAAGTCCCCATTGCTTAGCATATCAGAGAAGAAATTTACAAGACGTCTGCCTTTGTTTGCCCTGCCATTAAACCTCCAGTTCTGACCATGAGGTTTCTGAAGGAGCACTTTTGGAGGTAGGAAACTGGATAGTGACAAGTTTAAGCCTAGAAACTATGTCATGGGCGACACAGTCTAAGGAAGACTTGGGGGTAATGGGGAAGTATGGCATGACAACTGTTACTTCCTAGGGAAGCCGTCATATATAAAACAGGCTGTCTGGCTGAGTGCGGTGGCTCATGCCTGTAATCCCAGCACTTTGGGAGGCCGAGACGGGTTGATCACGAGGTCAGGAGTTTACAACCAGCCTAACCAACATGGCGAAACCCTGCCTCTACCAAAAATACAAAAAGTAGCCAGGTGTAGTGGCGTGTACCTGTATTCCCAGTTATTCAGGAGACTGAGGCAGGAGAATCTCTTGAACCTGGGAGGCAGAGGTTGTAGTGAGCCAGGATCGTGCCACTGCACTCCAGCCTGGATGACAGAGCGAGACTTCGCCTCAAAAAAAAAAAAAAAAAAAAGGCTGTTTTACTCTTCAGTTCTCCAAAGGATCAAAGGAGGAAAACTGTAGCAAATTCCAAACAGACAACATCAGCTCAGTAAACATAACCGTTTACATAATAGAATGCAGAGCCTGCTGAAGAAGGGACCAGCCCATCACAGGAAGGGTTCCAACAGGGAGACTGGAGAGGGAATGCCTGCAACGGGTGAGAGGTTGAAATGGATAAGCCCAAAGACCCATGTTGCAGAGGTTGCAAATTGATGATACACATGTCATTTGAAGGAAGCAGATGTGTTATCTTTACTAGTTCAATGTTTGCCTACAAAGTGTTTTTGTGCTTCTTCTTAGTATTATCATTGTATAAATAAAATCTGCATTTCAAAGTTCTCTTGTAAAACATAACAGAGCTGAGAGCCTCCCTTATATGGGACATATGTTCTTCGGTTCACACAGCCTCCGCCACTCCCTATCAATACCCAGTGTCCAAGTATCAATTGACATTTGTTATTCTGCCTACACTGTAGAGCTTTTTTTTCCCTTACACTCAGCCCACTTAACTCATATATATTATTACCTGTATTCTCTGTGTAGGCATTTGAGTGAGTGGCTTTTGTTGCATTCTGTGGTGTCAACCTTCATTTGAAACAGTGATATAGAGCTGTGTTCACCTCACTTCTCCCTCTCGCCCTGTGCCTTCTGTCATTGTGAGCTGCCCTGAGATTTGTAGCACGTGTGAACAGCACAAGAGGTCAACAAAAGGCACAGCTCTGTAGCGAGACCCCGGGGAACTCAACAGAAATTAGCAAGGCAGCTCCTTGAACTTGCCACTGGCAGATCATGAAACCACACCACCTCTTCAGGCCAATGGCCATTTTACATTTTGAAAGGGACATTATTTCTTGTTGAAGGAACATTACTATCTAGTTGACTCCTATCTAGGACAGCATATAGTCTCCTGTTACTTAGTGAAACCAGCAACAGACAGAATATGCACCAGAGAGAAAAACTAGCTTGTCTGCTATCCTGAAATAAAAATAAACAAGAGTTTGAACTAGCCTGGAATAAAAATAAGAGTTTGAACTACAACCTGAATCAAAGGAATGTTGGGAGTTTTCTATTAGCTCAAAGCAAAGTTCCTAGAATTCATAATAATATTGTTAGTAGCTGACATTTGTTAAATGCTTCCTGTGCTAAACACTTGGCACATTTTATCTCACATAGTCACATAACAACACTATGGGATAGGTGTTACCATTATACAAAGAAACTCAGGCACAGAGAGGTTAACTCCAAGTAAACCTTGAGTGATGGAGTGAGTGATGGAGCCAGAATTCAAATCCAGGTGACCTGACCCAGAAACATTAGAAAAATATAGGAAAATACTGCCAAGATTTGATATCTAATTTCCCATGGAAATTTCTTTTCTCTACCCATTAAATGACTTTGTTACATTTCTTGCCAAGCATGCCAAGAACATAAAACACAGAAGTCCAGTTTTTCATTTCTCTGGTTTATAAATTTATAAAAATTAAACTAAAAATAGCCCCCATGTTGTTTCATTCTTAAAATATACAATAACTTTAAAAGAAAGTTTCTCTGGAACTGAAGTTCCTTCTGCAGAATCTGTTTCACATTCAGAATTTGAGATGGAATATAAAATAGGAGAATGTTCAATGTCTGCAGTGTCAGATATTTTGCTCAAGGTTCTGTACCTAAATGCTGTGCTTGGCATGCGGAACTGAATTTCCATTATGTTCAGTCAAGCAAGATTTGACTGACAGAGAGGTCATTTATCACAATGATCCTGCCAGGTAGCCTGGGGAGACCATTTTGGCCTCTGAGATCGTGTTATATTTTGAGGTATTCGTGCAAAACTAAACTCTCTTTCTCTTTCCTCTAGTTTCCGATAATCACTGTCTGAATCAATATTTATAGAAAAACTATCAGCGAGAAATCCCATTTGCAAATGTCTTACAGTTTTAAGTGAACCTAATTTCTTTAAAACATATGTATTTGAAAATCCTATGTGTCAAATAAACATAAATAATGCTAATAACTAATAATGATAGTATTCAAAAAATAGAGATGTGAAGTATATATTTTCCTAACAAGAAAGCCTAACATATTTTTAATAAAACTGTATAACCACATTCCTGTAAGTTACTCCTTCATTAGTGAAAGAACTAAAATTATCCTGTTGTAAGAGAGGAAAACATTTTGACATGGAAGACAACTCGAAATAGTTTGAAGTATAATGCTTTATTAGTGCACGTAATAAACTTCTACTGAACACAAATACATGATTTTGCTGATAGAAAATCAGTTTCTCATGCTTTCACTAAATGAATGGGTTAGACAAACATTTAAAATATACTTAATTTAAGGGTGTCAAATTAATAACCTGTTTTGGGTAGACAGGGAGTAGTGCTTTGTGCTCTTGTTAAGCCCTTGACAAGAGTTTGAGAACACCAAGTACTATGTCCTGGAGGGCAGGTCCCACAAAGGCCACAAGATGTCGCTTTCTGACAGCCTGTTACTTGCAGCGAATCCTACCACAGCAGAAGGAAAAGAAGGTGAGGAGGAGTGTTGACCATATTTTGATGTAATAACCAGAAGTGTATCTGTTAGGATATACAACAATGGGTGCACCTAGATCAACAGAGATTCCCTTATAGTATTCCTAAACTTAAAACGTATTTTTTTTTCTTCTTCATTTTCTTTTTTCACTGGAGCAACCAGGAGTATGTTGGTGTTGATGCAGATGTGGGATACTGAACTCAAATTTTTCCATCATTACTTTCAGTCTTCACAGACATCTGGCAGGATGCCCTGAGGAATATTATAATCCCTGTTTTACAGATGAGAAAGCCAAGGCCCCTAAAAATTGCAATTGGCAAATGAAAATTCCAGTGACCAGGTTTCTTGACACCCAACACCCCAGCTGAGGCTTATGCGCTCTGCCCCTCTCCCTAGTCCTCATACGGAGGTGGTTGGGGGCAGGCTTGGACTATTTTGCTTTTTGGAAATTGATTTAAAATATTTTATACTAAACTGTCTAATATGAACCCATATTTATTTATGTGTATAGAACAAGGCTTCAGATAAATTTCACGGGTGCTCTAAGCCACTTTGGGCTATGTCTGGAATGGGTTTCCCAAGGAAGCTCACTCCATTATTTAGGGTGTGTATTAGTTTGCTAGGGTTGCCATAACAAGGAACAGACTGGGTGGCTCAAACAACAGAAATGTATTCTCTCACGCTTCGGGAGGCTAGAGGTCCAAGATCAACATGTCAGCAGAGTTTATTTCTTCTGAAGCCCTCCTCCTTGCCTTATAGATGTGTCCTCACATGGGCTTTCTTCTGTGTGTCTGTGTCCTAATCTCTTCTTATAAGGACGCTAATCAGATTGCATTTACCTTAATTACGTCTCTGAAGGCCCCATCTCCAAATATAGTCACATTCTAAGGTACTGGGGGGTTAGGATTTATTTACTTATTTATTGACAGAATCTTGCTCTGTCGCCCAGGCTGGAGTGCAGTGGTATGATCTCAGCTCACTGTAGCCTCCGCCTCCCAGGTTCAAGCAATTCTCCTGCTTCAGCCACCCAAATAGCTGGGATTACAAGAGCGCGCCACCCAGCTAATTTTTGTGTTTTTGGTTGAGACGCGGTTTCACCACGTTTCACCTGGCCATATTGGCCAGGCTGGTCTCAAACTCCTAAACTCAAGTGATCTGCCCACCTCCGCTTCTTAAAGTGCTGGGATTACAGGTGTGAGCCACCGTTCTCGGCCTCAGGCTTTAACAAATGAATTTAGAGGGGCACAATTCCCGCCCGTAACAGGGTGGAAACATTGAGAAGCCTGCATTATCCCTTCCAACTTTTTCCCATGAGAATGATAGAGTTCTAGTCTGTGTCCTTATATCTACAGCACCAGAGAGTTTAACGTGTGTCTTTCTTTGTCTAAGAAAGCTTCCTAGTTAATCTGCTATTTGTATGTGACTCCTTGGTTGCATTTTATGGAAGTGGAGCTGGGAGAAATGATTTCTGATCCCCATTCTTGAGGTAAGGAATTAAATTCAACTTTAAAACAACTTAAATACAGGAACAGATATATACTTACGAGTATATTTTTTTTTCTTAAAAAAGAAGGAAATTCTGCCGATTTGGGACAACATGGATCAACCTAGAGGACATTATGCTAAGTGAAATGAGCCAGACACAGAAGGGCAAATGTTAGATGATACCAGTTATGCGAGGAATCTAAAATAGTTGGACTCAGAGAAGCAGAGAGTAGAATGGTGGTTGCCGGGGGCTGAGGGGAGGGAGAACATGGGGAGGTGTTGGTCAAAGGATATAGTTTCAGTTATGTGGGATGAACAAGTCCTAGAGATCCACTGTACAGCATGGTGTCTAGAGTTCACGATACCATGGCATATACTTAAAAAAGTCCTGGCTGGAGTTTCGTCGTCGCCGCCGCCGCGTGCGCCATCATGCCGCCCTACACCGTGGTCTACTTCCCAGTTCGAGGCCGCTGCACGGCCCTGCGCATGCTGCTGGCAGACCAGGGCCAGAGCTGGAAGGAGGAGGTGGTGACAATGGAGACCTGGCAAGAGGGCTCTCTCAAAGCCTCCTGCCTGTATGGGCAGCTCCCCAAGTTCCAGGACGGAGATCTCACCCTGTACCAGTCCAATACCTTCCTGCGTCACCTGGGCCGCACTCTTGGGCTCTATGGGAAGGACCAGCGGGAGGCAGCCCTGGTGGACATGGTGAATGACGGCGTGGAGGACCTCTGCTGCAAATACATCTCCCTCATCTACACCAACTACGAGGCGGGCAAGGATGACTATGTGAAGGCACTGCCCGGGCAACTGAAGCCTTTTGAGACCCTGCTGTCCCAGAACCAGGGAGGCAAGACCTTCATTGTGGGAGACCAGATCTCCTTCGCTGACTACAACCTGCTGGACTTGCTGCTGATCCATGAGGTCCTGGCCCCCGGCTGCCTGGATGCATTCCCCCTGCTCTCGGCATATGTGGCGCGCCTCAGTGCCCGGCCCAAGCTCAAGGCTTTCCTGGCCTCCCCTGAGCACGTGAACCACCCCATCAATGGCAACGGGAAACAGTGAGGGCTGGGGGGACTCTGAGCGGGAGGCAGGGGCTGCTTGCCTGCCTTTCTCCAGGACCAATACGGTTTCTAAGAAAAAAAAAAAAAAAAAAAAAAAAAGTCCTTAGAGTAAGTCTCATATGTTAAGTATTATCACGGAATAATAATAATAATAAACAGTAACAGGAAACTTTTGGAGGTGATTTATATGTTAATGGCATTAATTGTGGTGATGGTTTCACAGATACATACTTATGTCCAAATTCATTAAAGTGCATACTTAAATATGTACAAATTTCTGTATATCAATCCCACCTCAATAAATTTAAAAAAAAGGAAAAAGAAAAAGAAACTCTGGACCAGGGAGGTGGCTCACACCTGTAATCCCAGCACTTTGGCAAGCCAAGGCGGGTGGATCATTTGAGGTCTGGAGTTTGAGACCAGCCTGGCTAACATAGTGAAACCCTGTCTCTATAAAAATACAAAAATCAGCCAGGTGTGATGGCGGGCGCCTGTAATCCAAGCTACTTGGGAGGGTGAGGGAAGAGAATTGCTTGAACCAGGAGGTAGAGGTTGCAGTGAGGCAAGATCATGCCACTGCAGTCCAGCCTGGGTGACAGAATGAGACTCTATCAAAAAAAAAAAAAAAAAGGAAAGAAAGAAAAGAAAAGAAACTAGCTGGGCACAGTGGCTCACACCTGTAATCCCAGCACTTTGGGAGGGTGAGGCCAGCGGATCACTTGAGCCCAGGAGTTCAAGACCAGCCTGGGCAACATGGCAAAACCCTGTCTCTACTAAAAATACAAAATTTAGCCAGGCATGGTGACAGGTGCCTGTAGTCCTAGCTGCTCAGGAGGCTGAAGTGGGAGGATCACCTGAGCCTGGGAGGTCAAGGCTGTGGTGAGCTATGATCATGCCACTGCACTCCAGACTGGTGACACAGTGTGACCCTGTCTCAAAAAATTAAATAAATAAAATAAAATAAACTCTGTACCCATTAAACAGTAATTCCCCATTCCTCCCTCCCCCAGCCTCTGGTAACCTCTATTATACCTTCTGTCTCTATGAGTTTGCCTTCTAGGTACCAAATACAAATGGTATCATTTATTTGTCCTTTTGTCTGGCTTACTTTGCTTGGTGTAATGCCCTCAAAGTTCATCCATGTTGTAGCATGTGTCAAAATCTCATTATTTATAAGCCTGAGTGATATCCCATTGCATATATTTTACAGTTTCACTTTATGTATGTAATTCTCTAATTTACGTAAACTCTATTTTGATAAATGGTGCTATGGTCTAAATGTTGGCGTCCCACTCAAAATTCATATGTTGGAACCTAAAACCCAATGTGACAGTATTATGAGGTAGAGTCTGTAGCAGGTGATTAGGCCTTGAGGGTGGAGTGCTGATGAATGAGATTAGTGCCTTAGTAAACGAGGCTTGAGGGAATCTGTTTGCCCCTTCCACTGGGTGAGAAGGCAGCGGTGGCTGATGTCCTCTGTAATCCCAGCACTTTGGGAGGCCGAGGTGGGTGGATCACCTGAGGTCAGGAGTTCGAGACCAACCTGGCCAACATGGTGAAACCCCGTCTCTACTAAAAATACAAAAAATTAGCCACGTGTGGTGGCAAGCACCTGTAATCCCAGCTACTTGGGAAGCTGAGGCAGGAGAACCGCTTGAACCCGGGAGGTGGAGGCTACAGTGAGTCGAGATTGTGTCACTGCACTCCAGCCTGGGTGAGAAAGCAAGACTCTGTCTCAAAAAAATAAGTAAAATAAAATAAAATGAGGAAATTTAAACTACACAATTTAACAGTATAGGAACTATGCAGATATCATGTACTCTGATGTTGTGATGAGACAGACACTTCACCTCTGTGGTAGTCTCCCCCAAAACATAACCTCATTGAAATCATGAGACAAACCCAAAGTGATAGTATTCTACAAAACACCTGACTAGTATTCTTCAAACTGTCAGGATCATGAAAAACAAGGAAAAACAGAAATATGTCACAGTGCAGAGGAAACTAAGGGAACATCATGACTAATTATGGAATCTTGAATTGGATCTTGGAACAGGAAAAGGCTATTAGTAGAAGAACAGAAAAAGGCTATTAGTAGAAAACAGACAAAATCCAAATAAATACTGTAGTTTTGTCAATAATTTTGTACCAATGTTAGATGTTTATTTCTGCCAAACATACCAGGATTAAGCAAAATGTTAACATTAGGAGAAACTGGGTGTAGGGTCTACAGAAATTCTCCCATTGTCTTTGTAACTTTTAAAACTATTCAAAAATAAAAAGTTTTTTTAAAGCCTATCGAGGCTGCGCATGGTGGCTTACGCCTGTGATGCTAGCACTTTGGGAGGCCACAGTGGGTGGATCACTTGAGGTCAGGAGTTCAAGACCAGCCTGACCAACATGGTGAAACCCCATCTCTACTGAAAATACAAAATTTAGCCGAGCATGGTGGCCCCACCTGTAGTCCCAGCTACTAGGGAGGCTGAGAATAGCTTGAACCCAGGAGGCAGAGGTTGCAGTGGGCCAAGATCGCTCCAGTGCACTCCAGCCTGGGTGACAGAGCAAGACTCTGTCTCAAAAAAACAAAAAAACCCTATCGAGAGTTTGATTGAAAATGTATTAACTGTATGGATTAATTTGAGGAATGTGGCATCTTTACAATATTAACTCTTCCCACTCAGGGACATATTTGTTTTGTCTTATATCCTACTATAAAGCAATAAGGTATTCATTATGTAAGTCATTTATGTAAGGGATGTTGTCCATTATATTTTCCATTTGTTTGCTGCTGGAGACATCTATACACATACGCACAGTTTTTTAAAGCAGGCCATCACTTGAGTTTTTCTGATATATGTAATATATTTGTAATTATAATTATTCTTTCAAACACTTATCATAGCCTAGCTAGAAAACCTAGAACAAATAAGGTATGCCATTTGTTTTATTAAGAGGTTTTAAGGCCGGGCGCGGTGGCTCACGCTTGTAATCCTAGCACTTTGGGAGGCCAAGGCGGGCGGATCACAAGGTCAGCAGATTGAGACCACGGTGAAACCCCGTCTCTACTAAAAATACAAAAAAAAAAATTAGCCGGGCGAGGTGGCAGGCGCCTGTAGTCCCAGCTACTCAGGAGGCTGAGAGAATGGCGAGAACCCGGGAGGCGGAGCTTGCAGTGAGCCGAGATCGCGCCACTGCACTCCAGCCTGGGCGGCAGAGTGAGACTCCGTCTCAAAAAAAAAAAAAAAAAAAAAAGAGGTTTTAAAAATCAGGAATGGGGCCAGGCACTGTGGCTCATGGCTGTAATCCCAGCACTTTGGGAAGCTGAGGCGGGTGGATCACAAGGTTAGGAGATCGATACTATCCTAGCCAACATGGTGAAACCCCCGTCTCTACTAAAACTACAAAAATTTGTTGAGTGTGGTGGCACATGTCTGTAATCCCAGCTACTGGGGAGACTGAGGCAGGAGAATGGGGATTGGAGATTGTGCCACTGCACTCCAGCCTGGGCGACAGAGCGAGACTCTGTATCAAAAAAATAAAATTAAAAAAAATAGAAAAGAAACTGACTGGGTGCGGTGGCAGGAGAATCACTTGAACCCGGGAGGCGGAGGTTACAGTGAGCCGAGATTGCGCCATTGCACTCCATCCTGCACAACAAGAGCGAAACTCTGTCTCAAAAAAAAAAAAAAAAAGAAAAGAAAAGAAATAATTTGTCCCACATTCTGTGCTAAGAGCTTCACACGTATTATTTTACTTAATTATCAAAACAACTCTAAGGGTAGACAGGTGTAGATCCAGGTTTTGTGGGGATTGGAATTAAACAGTATTAAGGGTCTTCTGATTTAAAAAAAATTACAAAATTATACACAAAATTAGGTACGATGGTTATTTAGAATGACAAAATAAATTATAAATGATAACAAATGAAGGGCGGGCGCGGTGGCTCACACCTGTAATCCCAGCACCTTGGGAGGCCGAGGCAGGCGGATCACGAGGTCAAGAGATCGAGACCACCCTGGCTAACACGGTGAAACCCCGTCTCTACTAAAAATACAAAAAATTAGCCGGGCGTGGTGGCAGGCGCCTGCAGTCCCAGCTACTTGGGAGGCTGAGGCAGGAGAATGGCGTGAACCCGGGAGGCAGAGCTTGCAGTGAGCCGAGATTGCGCCACTGCACTCCAGCCTGGGCGACAGAGAGCGACTCTGTCTCAAAAAAAAGAAAAAACCAAACAAAAAACGAAAAAACAAAACAAAACAAAAAAACAAATGAGCTCTCTGGCATTTAGGAGAAATGCTCCCTGGTTGCAACTTTCCACCTGTTAGACTACAAATCCCAGCGACCCATGCAAGTGAACATAAATTTTATTAGCTTCACCGTAAAGCTGTCTGGCGGCGGGTGGGGGGTGGGTGGGGAGAAGTGTTATTATCTCCATTTTTAGGTTGAGTAAATCACTCAATATTGCAGAGTGGGAATCTGAAAATTATGCAAAGAGACTCCAGAGCCCTCGCCTTTACCCCCAACGTGCTTCTTGTCAAGATCACTGAGTGCACACGAGGGTCTCCTTAACGATGGCTGAAGGGGAGACGATGGAGTAAGAGGAGGGGCTGAACAAAGGGCAAGAGAAAGGCAGAATGAAGCTCCTAAAGAGAAATGGACGGAATTGGGCTCCGCAGCCCTAATGGAGAAACGCGCCTTAGGAAGGAAGGGGAGAAGTTTAAGGGGAAACAGGTAAAATGAGGCAGAAGTTGAGCGAGTTAGTCAAACCCTAAATTCTTTATTTACAAAACAGCCGGGCACGGTGGCTCTCGCCTGTAATTCCAGCACTTTGGGAGGCCGAGGCAGGAGAATCGCTTGAAGCCAGGAGTTCAAGACACCCCTCTCTGCAAAAAACTGTTTAAAAATTAGCCAGGTGTGGTAGTGCGCAGTTGCGGTCTCAGCTACTCGGGAGACTGAGGCGGGAGGATGGCTTGAGCCCGGGAGGCGGAGACTGCAGTGAGCTCTGATCTCGCGCCACTGCACTCCAGCCTGGGTGACAGACCCAAACCGTCTCTAAAAATAATAATAGCAATAACAAAATAAAAATAAACAAATGTAATGCACCCAACTACGCCCCGGGAGTGGCACTAGGTTTCCGCAGCGCAGCGGCTGCGCCTGGGCGCCCCAAGCAACGCGACCAGCGCTGTCAGGAGGCGAATGGGAGCCAGGACAGAGCTGGGGAGGCCACTGCGGTCAGGCGAGGGATAAGAAGGCCGTCTGCGGCGTCATTGACGGGGCTGAGGGAACACCGGGGAGAAGAGTGGCAGACAGCTCCGGAGCCGCACTGTCCGGGCGGCGCCGAAGTGGGGCCTCCCAGCGGTGTTCCTTTCAGCCAATGGCCGCGAGATGCGCCGTCCGACTGTGCCCCGCGCGGCACAGGGAGGGAACAAGCAGCCCATGGGGTGCCAGAAAGCGCCATCTTTCTAGGTGACTATGCGAACTACCAGGGAAGAGTAGCCAGGGACAGGCTTCCCTGCCCGCGGTTAACCTCAGTGCCGCCACTACTTTAACCTGAAGCCAGGCAGCACTGCCGCCCTCAGTAAAGATGGCTAACTGGCGCAGAGAAAAAGCCGGAAGCAACCAGGCCTTGCGGGGAGCCGACTGAGCGCCGCGGGGGCGTGGCCTGGCGGTGGAGGGGCGTGGCCATCCGCTGTAAGCTGGGCTTGCGGTCTTTCAGTCGCACGCACCGCACCCAGTCCGGACCCTGTGGCGTCCTGGGGGCGGGTCCGCCGCCGGCCCCGCCCCCGCCCAGGTGTCTACCTTTGGGAAGCTGCCCGCCGAGTCTCCGAGATTTGTCCCTGGTGGTCCCGCGGACTCCTCGTTCCTCCGCGGTCTCCAGCTGGCAGCGATGGAGGGCGCCGGGGAGAACGCCCCGGAGTCCAGCTCCTCTGTCCCTGGGTCCGACGAGTCTTCCAGGGACCCACAGGCGCTGCCTCTGGAGGAAGAATCGGGGGACTGCGCCCGGTCCCTGGAGGCCAAGAAACTCTGTGGGTATTTAAGTAAGTTCGGCGGCAAAGGGCCCATCCGGGGCTGGAAATCCCGCTGGTTCTTCTACGACGAAAGGAAATGTCAACTGTATTATTCGCGGACCGCACAGGATGCTAATCCCTTGGACAGCATCGACCTCTCCAGTGCAGTGTTTGACTGTAAGGCGGACGGTGAGGAGGGGATCTTCGAAATCAAGACTCCCAGCCGGGTTATGACCCTGAAGGTAAATTCCTGGAAGGACTTTCTCCTTCCCAGCGGCGTGAGGTCCCCTTTTGGCAGGGCACGGCTGGGCGCGAGTGTGTGGTGGACACAGTAAATTGATTGGAACTGTCGTCACCGACGTGTTCAAAGAACTTTGTGCTTTGCAAAGTGCATTCCCACCCATTTCCTCATTGGGTTCCCACAAGGCAGGGACGACAGACCCATTTTACGGATCAAGAAACTGAGTTAGAGATGAAAGGACTGGCCCGAGGTCATGCATCTAGAGAGTGGGGTAGCTTGGAATCCCGTAGTCTTTCTACCTCTCAGACCTCTCAGTGCTGAATCAAAACTTTTACTTTTGGGTGTGCCTGACAGTGCAGTTACCTCAACTTTCTTACCTGGGACCTAAGGAAGTCAAAATATGGTCCTTGCAATCCTCTCTCAAGGCCAGAATTCTGATTCCCGTTTCTTGATGTTTTGGCCAAGGTCAGTAAATGCTGAGAAGAGATTGGCAGGGATTGGTAAGATAAACACTTAGGTTTCACTAGTCAACCTAGATTGTTCATCTAGGCATGCCTAAACCTGTTTTCCTATCAGCAGCAAGGGGTAGGTTTTGTTTTATCGTCGTGTTTAACTGAGAAAGCCTGAAGCAGTAGAAAGGCCACATTCTCTGAAATCAGACAGGCTTGGATTCAAATTGTACATTTGCTACTTACTAGCTGTGTGACCCTGGACAAGTTGCTTTACCTCTCAGAACCTAGGTGGTTTGTAAGCATTTGACACATCACAGGCATGTACAAATTGTTGAATTAATTTCATCACCTAGAATACAGCCTGGTACCTAGTGGGGTACTTAATAATTTTTTGTTGAATAAACACACGTGCACACACAAGGTGATGGAACCAAGGTCAGAGTGCTCATGTCAAGAGGAGGTGTCTCATAATTTAATTGGAAAGACAGATCTGGGCTAAGTGTTCTATGGGCATCAGAGAAGAATATGCCAGGAGATAGCCTTCCCCACCCCATCCCCATCTTTCCACCCCTCCAACCCCACCTCCAGCTAAGTGGGTATCTGTGGATGCCCCCGGGTTCAGTTCCCCTTTACTGACTGGGATGGCTGGTGACCAGGCTGAGGCACTTGGTTAAAATAATGAAACTCAGGAATCCCTGGCCAGGGAAGGCATTTACGAGGTCATGTGGTTCCTGGGTCTATGTGTCTCTTCCACAGGTTGACTGCTGTATAGAGGGTCTCCAACACATGGTCTTTATAATACTATTCCATTGTTCCTGGCTCTGCGCTAGGCTCTGGGGTGTGGAGCTAAAGCACCTCTGCCCCTGGTTCTCAGACAGCTTAAAGTCTGGTGGGAGAGACTGATGGAGAACCTGCATGAACCCTAAAATGTTCTGTAGAGACACTGTGGTAGGTCTCTGCAAGAAGGTGTGGTGACAGGAGGAGTCATTTCCACCGAGTGGAAGGGGCTAGCCCAAAAAGCATCTGGAGGAAGGACACACCCGAGGCTTCAGAGAAGAAATAGGTGGCAAGCAGACAAGAGGGAGAAAGGTATTCCAGGCCAAGAGAGCACGTGAGCAAACGTAGGGAACCATGATACAGCCCCGAGTGTCCAGGCAAATCACATGAGCCAGAAAGACAGAGGGGCCCAAATGATGGAGTTGAAGAGCAGAGCCTGAGGGCGAGTTAGGCCAAGTAGCAAAAGCCCAGTCTGACTATTGGGTAGAGAAGAAACTAAGGGAAGGGCAAGGCTGGTACTCAGGCAGCCCATCAGAAGGTGATCAGGAGAGAGTGACAGCTGAACTAGATCTGTGGCTGTGGGGAGGGGGACAATGGAGGTGGCTCGGGATAGTAGGGAAGTAGAATGGGGGAGATGTCAGGAGTGGCTGGAGTAACTGGCTGACTGCCTGGTTGGGTCAGTCACTGACAGGAGGAAACTCAGGATGAGGAGCCCGTGGAACATCCAGGTACATGTCCCCTGCAGGAGACTCTCAAGTTCCAAGGGGCCAGGGACCATGTGTGTTGGCTCACCCCTGTATTCAGTGCCTAGCACCATCTCTGACACATATGTCAGTGCTTAGTATACCCTTGTCAAATGAATTAATAAAATGGGGTATTTGGGTTTGGCTGGAGCTCAGCATTAAGGTCATGGGGAAGACCTGGGAGGTGCTGTGGTCTCTCTGGGAGAGTGTATGGAAAGAGAACACTGGTGGGCATCATGTGTCCTATTGGTACCTGCATGACAGCCTGACGGTTTCTTTCACAGACCACCCCCCACCCCCACCCCGGCACAGTGCACACCAGTGAGCCCCTGAGACCGTGAGCTTGCCTCTGTTGCCATGTAGCCTGCTGCTATTCTCATGCGGCCTTGATTGCAGGCAGCTCTGTGAGAATCCCCACCCATGCCCGGTGAGCTGTCCATCTTCTGTAGCCCACCTCAACTGATCTCAGGCCTTCTTTATGAAGCCACTAATCTCCTGGCCATAAAATCCAACTTATAGACCAGGGTTTTGGGACCAGTTCTATCACCACATGCCTGGGCGACTTCAGAGGTTTAGTTTCTCCATCTATAGAAAGGGCTCCTGCCTTGCCTCCCTCCTGAAGAATCCAGGAGTTATTGGATGTGAAAGTGGATGCTTGGACCAGCCACCAGCCAGTGCTGGGAGACTAATGACCAGCATTTACCAAGAACTTGTTTGGAGGGCCAGAGCACCTGGAAGGTGCCACCATGTCGTCACCATGTACATGTGGCTTTCCAGTCCCCATTCATATCCATGATTCCGGTGCATCCCCAAGGCAAGAAGGATTACTCCCATTCCACAAAAGGCAGCAAAGACTTGGAGATGTCACACAGGTGAGATACCATCTCACCTGCGAGATAGTGATGGTACCAGGACCCCACCCAAATCAGAATTCAGTGCACCTCCCCTCTCTCACAGCACCTCCAAATTCCTCTATCCAGTGAGCACATTTTGAGCACCTACTGTGTGTCAGGGACTGTGTGATACCCTTGTCTCATTTCATCCTCATCATTGCCCTATGCAATGAGTCTTATTGTCACCAGAGTACAGATGAGGAAACTGAGGCCCAGAGCAGCTAAGGAACCTCTGAGTGGGAGATCAGAGCCTGATGATCTTCTGTGGCCAGGAAGCATACATACCTACAGTGACCCTTTTTGTTTTTCCTGGGAAAGAGAGCATTCCTAAGCCTCCCACAACCTTCCCCTCTTCCCACACCCAGTGCCACCCTGCAGGCACAGGGCCTTGCCAACTAATCCTTGTGCTTCTCAGGCCGCCACCAAGCAAGTGATGCTGTACTGGCTGCAGCAGCTGCAGATGAAGCGCTGGGAGTTCCACAACAGCCCGCCAGCACCTCCCGCCGCCCCTGATGCCGCCCTGGCTGGGAATGGGCCCGCCTTGCACCTCGAGCTAGGTACCCAATGGGCTACCCTCCTGCCTGCACACCCAGGGCCCTGGTGATTAAGCCTTTACCCTCCTGCTGGGAGTGAGCGGGAGGAGCCCTCTGCTAAGGAAGCAGAGAGCCAGGGATATGACTCAGGATTAGTTAGGGCAAGAATCTGGGCTGAGGCCAGGCTGCCTGGGTTCAAATCCTAGTCCTATATAATTTTAGGCAAGTTGTTTAGCCTTTCTGAGCTTGTTTCCTTCCCCATAAGATGAGGTTTATAAATTATCCCTACTTCTTAGGGATGTTATGAGGATTAAATGAATTCATATACCTAAAATGGTTAGAACAATGCCTGCACATGGTCAGAACCCAATAAAATGAGCTATTATTACGATGACTCAAGAAATCAAACTTTCACAGAATTGCCGTGAGGAGGGTTAATAAGAAAATGCAATGTTGTAGATTTGTGTCATGAGTTGGGTAGATCAGCGATTTTTTTTTTTTTTTTTGAGATGGAGTCTCGCTTTGTTGCCCAGGCTGGAGAGCGATGGCGCAATCTCAGCTCGCTGCAACCTCCACCTCCCAGGTTTAAGCAATTCTCTGCCTCAGCCTCCGAAGTAGCTGCGATTACAGGCACGTGCCACCACGCCCAACTAATTTTTGTATTTTTAGTAAATACAGGGTTTCACCATCTTGGCCAGGCTGGTCTTGAACTCCTGACCTCATGATCCACCTGCCTGAGCCTCCCAAAGTGCTGGGATTAAAGCCTGAGCTGCCACGCCCGTCCAGATCAATGATTTTTATCGCTGGTGTTCCCATAAGATAGGATCCTTTCCTCCGAGATGACTCATGAATCAAGTTTCTTGATCCCAAATCCTGTATCATCCCAACGTGGAGAAGTCAGGAGACTACACCCTCCCACCCGCATGCTGCAGCCAGGAACATGATTGGCAGGTTTTAGGATCAGTATGGACCACCTCACAGCTGCCCCTGCAAGAACATGGAAAATCAGGCCCCAGTACAAAGCCACAGAGTGTCTAAAGTGCTGCATATTCAGTTGACAGGCCGAATAGGCAAGGGCAGGACTTGTTACAAGGTACCCCCGGACCTCTGTACCTGGGTGCTTTGCATGTCCAAAGCTGAATACATCTGCCCCAACCCTTCTTCTCGTTTTCCTTCCCTCCTCTCGGTAGATTTCCTGCCATGTACCCACTAGGAGTTGCCTTCCACCCTTCCTCAATTCCAGCCAGTGAGTCCAGTCAATCACTGTGCTGGCCATTTTTGCCCTCTGACCCACACATCAGACTCAGGTCTTTCTCACCACCACTGCCCAGGTCAGACCTCATCTCTCAAAGTCACAGCAGTCTCCTCTCCAGTGTCCCCATGTGGAGGCCTGTGCCAGAACCCATCCCCTTCTCTGCAGCCTGAGTGAGCTTTCTTAAATGAGAACCTGAACCCGTCACTGCCATCCAAGGCCACCCCCAACCCCACTCCTGTGCTCAGGGCTTATCCCTCCTGATCTCACCTCTGCCTGCTTCCCCAGTCGCCGCCTTGGGCTTGATGCTTCGGCAGAGTCTCTGCTCTCTCCTTTGCCTGGCAAATTCTT